TAATATTCAATCTCTTAAGATGCAAAATAAACTGAATATATAAAGGTATGGTGCCCAGATGTATGGAAAAGCTCAATTGACTCGAGCGAGTCAACTCGCAGGCCCTTCAGGCCTTTGATTGTATATATAGCAACGTCATCCGCATTTTTTACTTCAGTAGATAAATTTACATGCTTGATTGTTCTGATGACGACCGTCACAGGTCGAAACCGGTCAACAAAATAAATTTACTGCTGCATTCTCACGAAGTGTTGGTAGTCTGTTTTATACTTTTAAGTTTATAACTTTAGTTACAGACCCTATTGAATACCTTTCGGTATCCACACGTGGGAATCTTCCGCAATTTTAACCTCAAGGTGTTGGTCTCCAGCTTTTCTTTGTTTTGTATTTTACATTGTTACTGGGACCCCTGCATACCATAAGGTATCCACCATTCCGAACTGCGCTATACATTATGGCCACCAACTCCATTCCAAAGTTAAACGAATCAATTAACCAGGAAGTGAATGAATCTCTCAAGGTAGACATCAGTAACCCCAAAAAAAGATTCCGCAATTCTTCACAATCTGATACGGATATAGAATATTCAGAGACAACTAACAAATCTCAACAAGCAACAGCAGGGAAAGAAACCTCTATTGCAACATCCGTTCCAGTGGAATCTTCCGAGAAACCGAAAATATCAGAAGAAAATGTTGCCATTTTTAGGACACTCCGAAAACTTCATATTAAACTCCAAAGAACTAAAAGCCATGCCGCATACCTGAATAAATGCCAACAACAGGACCTCATACCAAAAACACTGAGAGCCAAAATAATTCCACCAATTCCAGACAGAATGCTTTATTTCTCCTAAACTGGGAGGAAGCACACCTTAATTTTAGCCGCAGCCTCATCCGCTTACTTTATGAATATTGGAATACGAGAATTAATACGATTAACACACAGATACTTGATTTAAAATCCCAGCTTAAAAACAAAGAAAACACTAACGAAATGGAACATATAAACAATCTTTTAACTGCAACTCCTAACTTTATGAAGAAGAATGAAGCCGATAAGGAATCAACAAAAGCATTCAAGGACAATAAAAATCCCAGTAATTGTTAACTACACCCCCCATTTTTGTAATGGACGAATTGGAGCAAGGATCTTTATACCTTCACATTTCGTCTGAACGAATTTCATCTTAAAACTACTATGAACTCTTGAACATTCTAAACAAATTAGCTTTGTTTATATTAATACATGTCAATTATTTTAATGTAATTTTACTAACAATTATTATCCTCCACAAAATAGGACTATTCAGAAGTAGAAATTTATGAAACCAAACTACATTTTATGTTATCTCAACATTTATAGGAAATGTAATCTAATGTCCACTTATATAATTTTACGCACTCTCTATGTACAAATCATCCGTATTTTTTTCCATTGTGACGTCACAGTCTACCGAAACAGCTTGATGATGCAACAGAAGAATAACAATCCACACAATTTATGGACGATTTTATTAATCATAAAACAACAATGTTATTTACTGACTAAATCTTAAGTCAGAAAAACTTTAGAGGAAACGTAAATTGATTATATCTTGTATAAAGTACCATTGTTAAGCAAGTCCGCATATATGTGCAAAACACTCCGCATTTTATTTTGTATATAGCAACGCCATCCGCATTTTTTGTATATATAGCAACGTCATCCGCATTTTTTACTTCAGTAGATAAATTTACATGCTTGATTGTTCTGATGACGACCGTCACAGGTCGAAACCGGTCAACAAAATAAATTTACTGCTGCATTCTCACGAAGTGTTGGTAGTCTGTTTTATACTTTTAAGTTTATAACTTTAGTTACAGACCCTATTGAATACCTTTCGGTATCCACACGTGGGAATCTTCCGCAATTTTAACCTCAAGGTGTTGGTCTCCAGCTTTTCTTTGTTTTGTATTTTACATTGTTACTGGGACCCCTGCATACCATAAGGTATCCACCATTCCGAACTGCGCTATACATTATGGCCACCAACTCCATTCCAAAGTTAAACGAATCAATTAACCAGGAAGTGAATGAATCTCTCAAGGTAGACATCAGTAACCCCAAAAAAAGATTCCGCAATTCTTCACAATCTGATACGGATATAGAATATTCAGAGACAACTAACAAATCTCAACAAGCAACAGCAGGGAAAGAAACCTCTATTGCAACATCCGTTCCAGTGGAATCTTCCGAGAAACCGAAAATATCAGAAGAAAATGTTGCCATTTTTAGGACACTCCGAAAACTTCATATTAAACTCCAAAGAACTAAAAGCCATGCCGCATACCTGAATAAATGCCAACAACAGGACCTCATACCAAAAACACTGAGAGCCAAAATAATTCCACCAATTCCAGACAGTAATGCTTTATTTCTCCTAAACTGGGAGGAAGCACACCTTAATTTTAGCCGCAGCCTCATCCGCTTACTTTATGAATATTGGAATACGAGAATTAATACGATTAACACACAGATACTTGATTTAAAATCCCAGCTTAAAAACAAAGAAAACACTAACGAAATGGAACATATAAACAATCTTTTAACTGCAATTCCTAACTTTATGAAGAAGAAGGAAGCCGATAAGGAATCAACAAAAGCATTCAAGGACAATAAAAATCCCAGTAATTGTTAACTACACCCCCCCCCCCTTTTGTAATGGACGAATTGGAGCAAGGATCTTCATACCTTCACATTTCGTCTGAACGAATTTCATCATAAAACTACTATGAACTCTTGAACATTCTAAACAAATTAGCTTTGCTTATATTAATACATGTCAATTATTTTAATGTAATTTTACTAACAATTATTATCCTCCACAAAATAGGACTATTCAGAAGTAGAAATTTATGAAACCAAACTACATTTTATGTTATCTCAACATTTATAGGAAATGTAATCTAATGTCCACTTATATAATTTTACGCACTCTCTATGTACAAATCATCCGTATTTTTTTTCCATTGTGACGTCACAGTCTACCGAAACAGCTTGATGATGCAACAGAAGAATAACAATCCACACAATTTATGGACGATTTTATTAATCATAAAACAACAATGTTATTTACTGACTAAATCTTAAGTCAGAAAAACTTTAGAGGAAACGTAAATTGATTATATCTTGTATAAAGTACCATTGTTAAGCAAGTCCGCATATATGTGCAAAACACTCCGCATTTTATTTTGTATATAGCAACGCCATCCGCATTTTTTGTATATATAGCAACGTCATCCGCATTTTTTACTTCAGTAGATAAATTTACATGCTTGATTGTTCTGATGACGACCGTCACAGGTCGAAACCGGTCAACAAAATAAATTTACTGCTGCATTCTCACGAAGTGTTGGTAGTCTGTTTTATACTTTTAAGTTTAAAATTATTTAAAATCAGTCAAAATCCCTTCGTTATACATTGAATACCTTAAATTTACCTTTAACTATATATGACTTTCATTCGGATATAAACGATATCTACACCATCTGATCAAGTCAAAAATAATGCATGTATAATGGAAAAAATAATAAAAATATGTTATAAAATCCACCGACCTGCCTTGATTTTTAAAAAATATTGGATGAGAATCTAAATTTTTTTTAATTAAAGCCTAATTACATGTGTAGGTTATTGGCTGATTAATGAGCCATTGTAATAGCTCACCTAAACAGATCGAAAGCTCAAGTGTCAGATTTTCTGATCAAATTTGTGTATTATTCGTCACTGCGTGGTGTTTTTAGTATCATTATAAGTAATATTTCACATTTTCTTTCATTGAGCTAGTTCAACAAAACTTGGCACATGCATGTACAATCCTTTGGTGAGGGGAAATCAAGATTGTTCAAAATCACCTTTCAAAGGGACATAATTAAGAAATAGTCAATGAAAATTGTATGTGGGATTCTCTAAAAATCTTCTGAAAAAAAATGGGAGCCAGGAAAGATGAGACTTATAATTGAAACCTTATCGATATATAGTATAGTTTCAAGTTTTACTTATTTGGAATGCATAGAAAAAAACTAAACTGTAAATTTAAATATATTTATAAAACTAGCAATACACATGTATTTTGCATGTAAGTGTGGGGAAATTTTAGGCATTCAAAGCATCATAACACAGACACGGGGTCAAAGTGTTAAAGGTTACATTTTAATTTGACATCACACACGTTGAACGCCTTGGAAGTGCAATGTCATAAGCGAGAACTAAATATCAAGTTCAATTTAAACAGAAGATGTTGCATTGGCTCTTCCATTATCTGGAATGTACCCCAAACAATAATACCGGAATTTTGAAATATAAATCAACATTTTCATTAATGAAACACTTCATAGGTTTAATATTCAGTTTGTTTGCAAACACTGTTGTAATTATGAGACTATTTCTTTCAAAAAATAATGATTCATGGACTCATTGCTTAAAGATATCCTCTTATATGTTGGTTCAAATCACCCCAGAGGGAGAGCATCACAGTAATTAATATGGTCAGTCTTGTCTTGCGTGAAAAAAAGTAAATTGTTTTTATAGATACACACTTTTCCCCCAGATAAATCTGTTTTGGTACCAATGGATTATGAAAGTTAAAAAAAACTTACCTGGATGTGTAAACGTTAGTGTAAAGTATGTCATGAAAATAATTTCTACATGCAATGTTGTGTCTGCCCTCAAACTTAATTTTTCTTTTATCATTTTCTATGTAGTGAAGCTTTTATACGACCAGACATGTAAAAAGTATTGCACAAATTGCAATTTTGTGATCAAATGTGGTTTATGAATCATTAATGTTTTGAATGTGCAAATTTTTAGTTCCAATAAGATAAGCTTACTTCTCAAAGTTCTACTGTATCAAAATAACACATAGCTATGTATTGTACATGTATTTTAATACATATTGATCTTTTCAGAGAAGAAACATCAGTTATTAAGAAGAAGAAAACATCATCGTCGACACAGACCAACATTCATCAACTGCATCATGTGCCATTTACACACCAACAGATATGCCATCTGAAGAGCATGACTATTGTCGCCAAGCACCATCTCTTGAAGAAGATCTTGAGGTAATACACAGATCATGAGTTCCATTGATCTTGGGGGTGTGTTGTCTTTAGTTCACACCTGAGCTGAAAATTCAAGTGAGCTTTTCTGATCACCCATTGTCTGTCGTCTTTCCATTTGTCTGTAAACTTTGCATATTTTTAACTTCTTCTCAAGAACTACAGGATTAATTTTAACTGAACTTGGTACTACAAAGCATCCGTGGGTAAAGGAGAATATGAAATTTTAATTTGAAGGCCCAAGTCCTATTTTGAGGGGAGATAATCAAGAAAAAGGTGGGGTCATTATAAATCTTCCCAAGTGGGCCAGAAAAGCTGAAACTTATGTGGAAGCATGCTGGGCTAGTGTAGATGCTGAATTAATCAAATCATGACCCCGAGGGGCAGGGTGGGGCAATAATAGGGAATCTTGCTTTTACATTGAAAAAAAGGACATTTTTCAAAAATCATATGAAGAACAACTGGGTTAGAAAAGATTAAACTTATGTGGAAGCATGCTTGGCTAGTGTAGATGCTAAATTAATCAAATATCATGACCCCCAGGGGCAGAGTGGTGCCATAATAGGAAATCCTAGTTTTACATTGAAAAATGAAGCACATTTTTCAAAAAATCATATCAAGAACCACTGGGTCAGAAAAGCTTAAAGTTATGTGGAAGCTTAGCATCTGGAACAGTGTTTAGATTCTCATATCATGACCCTGGGGATAGGATGGGGCAATAATAGGGAATTCGAGTTTTACATAATAGATAGTACAAGGCGGAAATCTTTTAAAGATCAGAAATTACTCAGGTGAGCAATGTGCTTTATTGGCCCTTGTATATGAAAACCACATTGGAAATCTTATCTGTTAACACTGTTAAACAAACCACCAGTACAGATTTTGAAGTAGCATTTGCTCCATCAGTGACATCCAATGATGTACATTTGATTTTCATGATATAATATTCCGTCATGTAAATATACATGTCTCTGTTATATTGTGGTAATGTTGATATTTATTTGGAAATATACATATGTCACTGTGTAATACTACATTGTAGGCAATGAAGATACACATTTCTGAACTAGAAGAAAGGGTACAGCACCTTGAGAAGAAAGTAGAGAAGTTTGGGATTGAGAGATTTTCTAAAGATCCAAATTTGATAAATTTTTACACTGGTTTTTCTACTTACGATATTTTTTGTGCTGTATATAATGTTGTTGAGCCAACAGCCTCAAATATGATCAGGTGGTCACAAGTTCAGAGAAATAGAAACATTGTTTGTAATCCTTTTAGAGAAGAGTCTTTGTCAATTGTAGATCAATTTTTTATGTTTTTATGTAGAATTAGACAAGGTTTTTTTGAAGAAGATTTAGCACAACGTTTTTGTGTGTCTCAAAGCACTGTTAGTCGTATTATTATTACTTGGAGCAATTACTTGTATTGTGTTTTGGGATGTTTACCCATATGGCCAGATTTAGATATTGTTAAACAGAATATGCCAGAATGCTTTAAGACTACTTTTCCCAATACACGAGTTATTTTGGATTGTACAGAAATACGTGTGCAGACTCCAAGTGCCAAAGTACTTAACTCTCAGTCATATTCAAATTACAAGTCTCATACTACCTTTAAAGGCTTGATTGGTATAACCCCTCATGGTGCTGTATGTTTTGTTAGCAGATTATTTACTGGCAATATTTCTGATAAAGATGTTACACAAAGAAGTGGTATACTTGATCTATTAGAACAAGGTGATGATGTGATGGTCGACAAAGGTTTTTTAATCCAAGATTTACTTGACAGTGTTGGTGCACACTTGATTATTCCACCTTTTTTAGGAAGTAAAGTAAAATTTAGTAAAGATGAAGTTAGTAAAACTCAGCAAATAGCAAGACTAAGAATTCATGTAGAAAGAGCTATCAGAAGGTGTAAAGAGTACCATATTTTTGATAATGTTCTGCCATTGTCTGTTGCTGGGACTGTAAACCAGATTTGGTCTGTGTGTTGTTTATTAACAAATTTTAAAGAAAAGTTATTTTGAGAGATATTTTCATTGAATTGTTGAAGAGTGTTGCATGTAAATGAACATCATTTGCATATTTGAATTATACTAGACATGTACAATGGAGATGGAACTTATACCTGTATATATTTAAAACAGAAATCGTTGCAGGCTTTAGGAATTTTTTTTTGTAAATTTTTATTGATATGTGCTTCATGTGAGAAAGATCTTTTTGGGAAAAGAAATTAATACCATGACATTTTTTCCAGATTTGGGAAATTTGATGATGTAATGCACATATTTTAAAATAGGATTTAATTAATACAAGTATTTTTAAATTGCACTGTATTTGTAATGCTATAATCAGTTCTTTGTTAATTAATTAACACAATTGCAATTGTATTAAGATTTACTTTGTATGGTATGATTTTTGTGTTTTGGATGATTGATTGTTTAGTGATTCACTGATTGTACCAGTATAATGTTTAACTTCCCTCTTGAGAATTTTTCACTCATCAACTTCTTACTCTGCGACTCTAGAGCAGATGCTCTAACCACTGCCCCAAGTGGGATCAAAGCTCATTAATTACAACTTTTTGAAAATAACAAGCCTTTAAACAAATTTGGATCTACATTACCTAAAGATGCTTGCATATTATTTCATGTATGACAAATCCCTCTCCCCTACATGTGTATATTTCAATATGCTATAGAGGAAAGATATTTGAACAAACTTGGATCTACACTATATCAACATTTTGATCTACACTATATACATGTAAGGAAGCTTTTGCCTCTTATGGCTATAAAAGATTTTTTTTTTTTTAGTAGAAAAGGTTATGATGCCAAAATGTTCATTGTTTCCCAATCATTTTCCCAGTACATATTCATTTATATGGAGAATGGGGTAATTCATTTAAAATAAACAGATGATAGACTTCTTTTGATCAGAAAAAGCTTACTTGACTTTTGGATTGGCTAAACCGAGAAACTAAACAAACAAAAATAACAGCATGTGTGCATGTACTTGCATGTACTTTTTTTCTTTCTTTTGATCCATCATAGATGCTCAATTTAAAACCATACTGCCACTTCCTCCAAAATTAATTCCATTGAGACCATTGAATCAAAAGTGGGACCAGTGCCCAGAGGTTCCCTTTTTTTCATATCAGCCAAAAAAATTGATGAGAATTATAAACCATCCTGCTTTTCCTACTTTTCCTGATTACAATTTAGGCCATGCAAAATTTATTCTTTGGTTCTCAGGCCTTTTTTTTAGGAAATATGATAAGGGAGGGAGGCATTTTTTTTTTTTACTTTTTATTGCCCCCAAAATATGATGAGGCAGCTTTTTACACTGTACAAAACCTCAATAAATGATGAGGGAGGTTATTTTTTTTAACATATTTTATTGATTTAGCAATAAAAAGGGTCAACGAGGCACCCTTGGAAGAGAGGGCCTGAGAACCAAGAAATTAATTTTTTATGGCCTTACCTATACTTGATCAATTTTTAATACAGCTCTGAGTCTGGATGAACAAAATGTTTATGATTGACTTAATAAACGTGTCAAAAACCGATTCTGACATCAAACAAAATACAGTTGAACAGTCTTAAAATCCCCACTGGAATTAAACAAGAAAACAGAGAATTTAATACTTCATCTACATTTAAAAGATTTTGTTCACGGAAAAAAGATTTTGAAACTTTGGCTGACGCATTATTAAAAAGTAACAAATTTAAACAGTAGCATGAAATTTGGACTTAAACATGAACAGAAGCATATACTGGTATAACAGAAAACAATGTCTTAAAGCAGGTTTAGTCAACAATCCCTCATGTTTTGATCTGAGAACTTCTCCTGACAGGAAAGTCATAGACCCCAACTTTGTTCCTATGTATGGGCTATTAGAAATTATTTGTCCAAGTGCCAACTTGATTACAAATTTTAAACATTTAACTCTTGTGAATGACAGCTATAAACTAAAATTCTTTCGTGAATATTACCGATATTATCAGATAATGGATCAAATAGGTTTGACCGTTGCTTTGAGGTGCGATTTGTTCATTTAGTGTCGAGATGACTACCATATAGAAAGAATTTGTACCTGGAAAGTGGTAGGAAATGAAACAAAAATTTTACATATTTTATTTCCATTACTATTTACCAAAATGTGTTCAATACTGAATATATAACATCATTTGTTGTCATTGTATTTTGATTGAGAGATTCCACAAAACAAGACATGTTTTACTTCCATTACTTTTTACCAAAATATGTTCAATACTGAATATAACATCATTTGCTGTCATTGTATTTTGATTCTGAGATTCTAAGATGTTCTGATATGGAATTGTTTGCTGAATGGGACAATAAAATTTTGATTTCATACAATCTGTTCTTTTAATTTATGTGTACATCATCAACTGCTTCAGAATGAATACCCTCTAACCTCTGGGGTACATGTATATGCCATGTTTGAGGCATTGATTAGATTTGACACGTGGCACCATCTTTAAATCAAGCTTTTGATAGTGGGCTAATGTGTATATAGTAGGCCTAAATTATGGCTGCAATGTCCAGAGCCTGCTTTCATGTGCAGTTAGAACTTTCAACAGTGGTGCAAGCTGCAGCTTTAAGAGCAATTTGAAAATTATGTGGGGAATCATTTTTCCTCATAGAAGGAAGCACTTGGCTCAAATACAAGCACCAGTCCCCCCTGGTGTACATGGTCTCACTGAAACAATAGGAGAAGCTTACTTAGCTTCCTTGCAAGTGAAAATTGATCAGGAAACGGAAATAAAAACAACCAAGGACAAAATGAAACCGATTTCAATAAAAGAAAAGAAATTTGGACAAATAATATATAATAAAAATGAATAAAAGAAACTGAAAACAAAGTTCGGATTTATTTGCAACATTATTAGGAAAGCAAAAGAATCAGATGCTCTATTTGTTAATTTATACAATAAATTTCAGCTATATAATAACTTCAAATGGTATTTTCGATATATAACGTAATACAGGACTTTGACGTTTGTGAACATGATGGTGTGGAACATGTACATGTGGACTTGGCTACTCAAGAGGAAAAATATTTTGAAAAATAACCCTGATTATTGTCAGTGCATCAATTCTACATTAGTTGTTGTCTTCAGTCTCCTCAATATACATTTTCGAGAGGATTACTACTTTTAATCTGCATGTATCTTCACTTCATATCTCAGCCAATATGCACAAAGAAAATATTGAAATCCATTGAGCTAAATCATAATCAAAGCTTGTCTTTTATTCTTTGAAAGTATGTAGCACATGTATATATACATATGCATTATTCAATCTGACATATATTTGAATTTAGTTTATGGTAAGCATGTACAGTAGTTATATGAACCTTAAATTGCTGTATATGCATATCGAATGTTTACACAGTGCTTTGTTCACATATAAAATTCGATGTTTTCTTCATGAAATGCCTTGCAATTTTTCAAAAGGGAAAAAAATATATCAAAACAAAGGAAAATCAAGAAATATAAATAATAATTAAAAAAGAAAACAAAGACATAATTATATCAAATGAAAACAGTTAATATTTATTTATATGAACAAAATTTTAGAAAAGTCATATGTGTTTATCTATAAATGAGGTAAATAATCACAGAATCATAACATCTGCGTAATGAACTTGCATTCTTTGAACAGCTGACTGCATAAATATTTTGATATGGGCTCTATAAACCACGCCCACTTTAGTGTACGTAGACCCTACATACATTTCACAGAACGTGGCCAGAATTTTTCTATATGATTTTTTTCTTTCAAAATGATAACTAAAAAGTATCTATTTACTACTTGTGACGAATTTTTATTGTCTTCCGTTAATTGAATCTCAATAATAATGACAGATATCAACGTAAAGAATTCTATGCATGCTGTCCGATGGACCATCGTAAAATTGTAAACAAACCTTCGACATCGTGTTACATAGCCTATAGCAAAATTACTGTATCCTCTTTTGAGCGATTTATTGAGTATTTTTTATGTCGTTGACCATGTCGATATCACATCGTCAGTAATCTTAGCTACATTTGTGAGAGAGCGCGTCCACGCCGGATGACCTTCGCCGCACTTCGCCATTTTGTCGTAGTGAAGGACGCTAGTTTGTCAGGTAAGCCTCGGTTTCGTATTTTAATGGCGGACGCGTGAATAGAGTCTATTCTTCGAATTTACCTTTGTGTTTTAATGTTAAAAGTATATGTGAAAAAGATATATAAGATTCTAAATAAGCTAAACCACAGAATGTCTCACATGGTTAGAAACTTCTAGTCTGTAATAGTATTTTGGATACATTACCAAAATGTTTACATTGTTTATAATGATTGTTGTAATATTTTAGTTTAAAAGCGGATCCAGGATGTAGCAAAAATAATAACAGAAATACATGTATTTCAATGTATATATTTCTTATGATTTTTATCCAGCATTTTGAAATTTAACTGTAAATGGGTTACATGTACTTATTAGGTAAATATATAATGTATTTTCAGTGAAATGTGTAATATTCCTGTGGCAACTTAATTATTAAAGCAAAAGAAAAAAATCACAGCACGACACTTTTACAAATCACAGCAAACCTTTTCAACAGTGAATGTCTGTCTAAAGAGCTTCAAATTTAAATACCATACAGTTCTCCATAATAGTTGGAAAGCGTATTTTGACGTGAATGTTTTTCAGAAAATAGTTTGTTTTCAAAAATATAAGTGTAAATTGTCATACAGCTCAAAAGAATATTTTTAAAGATTGAAATAGAATTAGGTATTTTGTAATTAGCAAAAAAAAATCATTTTGTTTCCATTCCAGGTTTTGACCCAAATAAACCACCCATATTCACTGGAGAAGTTGTTAACGTCCCAGATACTGATCCCGTTTCCAAAGTCAGCAGCAAAATTCCAGATAAATCGGACAGTGTCGTAAAATATGGAAGTAAAACAAAATTTACTATTGGAAATCTCTACTTCAATGGAGCGCATATCCGTTTTGTGGACGAAACTGGGGATTTACCAGACAAAACCAAAGCTGTGATGTGTAACCAAATTGAAATTCAAAGCCTTCTTCACGGAACATTTTTTGAGCTTGGTGATTCTGGATCCTTTGTGTTTTGTATTAACCCTGATAAGACACTGTGTTGTCTTGGTATGGCTATTGGCTCTTCAACCAATGGGTCGTGTTTTGTACCACCAATGACCAGAATTTTAGATTCTTTCGGTCTTCCTCATAGATTAAAGTCATGTTCTCCCTTGGCCCCAGTAAACACAACTAGAGCACCAAACACTCCTTTAGGTTCAGGGACAGCAGCACAGAGTACAGCTGAAGTTAATTTAGGAGAAATACTTTTGAAATTACACATGTCAATAACAGATGTACAAAATCAACAAAAAGACATTCAATCTTCGTTACACAGTATGCAAACAGACTTTAGAAATTTGAAAACTGAAGTTAAGGAAACAAACGATAAATTACAAGCAGAGGTTGGAAAATTGAGGACGGAAGTTGGAAATTTAAGAACGGACGTTCAAGCAGAAGTTGGAAATTTGAGAACGCAAGTTCAAGCAGAAGTTGGAAAATTGAAAGCACAAGTCCAAGATATTAAAGATGAAGTCCAAACAAAGACATCTGGAAGCTCGCGTGACATCAACCAAAATTAAAATCTATTTTGTCACATTAGCTAGAAATTTATATAAATACATGTATACAAGTATGTAAGTAGGGGTTATTTTAGATATATGATAAGGTTTAAATTCATTTTCGTGTCGTAATTTTTTTAACGCAATTCACTAATTTGACATGAAGAAAATTAGTTGATATATATGAATCATATATTGTATGAATATGTGCAGTTACAATAATTGTTGTACAATTAATACAAGTAATCTCAAAAAATGCATAGAAATGTGTGTTTTATACCCCTGTAATCAAAGATTCAGATGTTTGTAGATTTCCCGTGTCCAATCATTAGTCTCTCTGTCTACAAAAAACTTGTCAATACTTTTGATTGTTTTGAGATATGGATCATATATTTCACACGTGAAAAAGGCTTTTTGGGGGAAACAACACATCTATTCCTCTTAAACTTTACTTTTTGATTTAATCCTTATGCACAAAACTTTTATATATTGACCATTATTAATTGTTATACCCCCTACTAAACAGTTCCTATATAATTCCTTACTTCAAAAAGTCCAAGAATTCGACTGTTTTTCCCACCTATCGGTCCAAGGAACTGTAAAAATTGACTGTTAAAAAAGACTGTTGACCGTTGACGTCATATGGCACTTAATTGAATGATCTTTTCCTCATTCGGCAAACCTCGCTTGATTTGGACAACCATGAGTTAAATGTACTTTGCCGAGGAGTGCCGAGTAATTTAAACTTGTGTTTAGCTATGACGTCACATATTAGCCGATGAAGCGGTTCCAGAACTTTTGTACTAAGGCTACCTGTCGGTAAGAAATGGCCGATGTTTGTTTCACTGCGGCAAACAAGGAAACAATCTGGTCGATACTCGAAACTAGGGACAATAAGAATGCAAAAAAAAAAAAAATGTTGTGAAAACTGCTTGAAATATTCTCAGTGAATATGAAGTGTATCTACCGCTTCTGTGAAATAAATTGTGTGAAAAATTGGTAAGCATATTGACTTGAGGAAATTCTATTGTGCCACTTGAAAGAAGGATGGTAGCATGTATGCAAAGAAAAACATGATTTCTATGCTATGCTTTACAGTAATCATTTTATAAGTCCTAGGCATTGATATAATAAATGATCTGATTGAAGACGGAAAATGACGATTTTTGATAAATAAACATGATAAAGTCTCTCTCTCTCAAAACAGTTTGACTTTTGTTAAATATATGTATATGAATTTGATTTGGCAGGAGTATAACAAAACAGTTGTTGACAGGGGTCTCGGGAAACAGTCGATCTGTTGGACCAGAGTGCAAGCTGTTGCCCAAGGCCGTATACTGTTTAACACTTGGTGTTAGGGCTTTCATACTTCATATATGTAATAATTGTGAGAAAACCTTTCCTTTGGTATAAATATTTTTGACTTTTGAAGTTTGATCAATTAAAAACTTTAAAGTTGGTCATTTCCTTTGAACTTTTATATATATTTCATATGTATATTTCATAGTTACCTTTGCACCGTTTTAATATGTATTACTTCTTTTAAAAAATTGTAATAAAGCAACTGAATACTTGTGGAAAATGTAATATAGCCATCAATAATGGATAGGACTGGGCCGTAGCTATTAACACATATCGCACGTATCAGCTGCTTGTCACATGCCTTGTATAAAAATAGAATTGTGAAGCTTAATGTAAGAAATGGGGATAGTGCAAGGGCATACGCTTGTTTTTCAAGAAAAAAAATTGATACACATTAAAGGAGATTTATTTGTTCTACCCAAAAAGTTCTGGGAGCTAGTCAGTACTTTTTGCAAATTACTTATAATTTTGCCGAAAATGCTTAAAATAGCTAAAAAATTTCACTTCGCTTAAATTCCGTTATAAATAATATTAAAGTAATGAAGATCAGGATCCGCTCCTAGTACTTTTCAAAATATACACCATATAATCGATAAATATTACAAATTTCAGCTCAAACAAAATAGTCTGTGCCCTTGCAATTTTGATGTAAATTACGAATACGCTCATCGTTTTAGCGATATTCTCTACATTTCTTACCCCTATGCAGCTTCAATGCTACAAGATAAATATATATATATATATATATATATATATATATATATATATATATATATATATATATATATATATATATATATATATATATATATGTGTGTGTGTGTGTGACGCGCCAAGCAAAAACCTCCCTTATCTCTATTATGACGTAACGTAAAAAGACGCGTCTAAAGTCAACAAGGTAAAAGCGACGTAAAAACGCTCCCTTCGGAGAAACTCTCCGCAGCAGAACAAGGGGTTTTGTTTAAATTATATGGCATAAGAAAGATGTTTGGGTGTGATTTGAATGTAGTTTGTTCTGTACGAAGTTAGTCTCCGTCAAGTGTCTGTGTGACCTTTATCCTTTTCACAATTATTATTAAGTGTATATTTTCTAAAGA